ATTAATTGAACCGCCTAAAATAATAATTAAAAATTGCAAATAACCTCTACTACTATTAATTTTATACCTCTGATGGAAAGTTCTCTGATGTTGTATTCATAAAGCCAATGTACTTTTTCGTTTGAATAAATTTAATTTCGTTATCTAGATATTTACGGGTGTAGTGTAAAGATGTAATTCAATTAACTTTCGAAAGCTTCCCGGCGCTCGAAGGCTAGAAAAAATATATAGGAAACCGTCGTTGTGGGCTTATCGGACGACGGTTTTTCCCGTTTCAACTTTTGCTGGAAACAGATAAGAGTGCATTCGTAACGAACAAACTCACTCCAAGGAAGTAATTTAGAACTCGGCTTAATTGAATTTTTCTATTAATAGGTGGGTGTGTTTTTTTTGGTCGAATTTTCTTTCGAAGCCGTATCGCAAACACCTCTCGGGCAATGAAAATGGGGAAGTGATAGTTGAATTCCGTTGCGAGCGTTTTCCATTCGACCAATTCGACTAATTATGCAATTTGTACGAATCAATTCGACTTCAAAACAGGAGCGACCGTTCCGTCCGCTTTCGGATTCCTGCTGGACTACGGATATCGGAACCCAATTTACAACATTGCAACTAGAACTATTCGATTTCAGCGTCCTAATGGCAGTTATTTTCGCCGGAATTCCAATTAGGCACTGTTTTGTTTCGCTTGTTCCGGACGTGATTTGTTGTTTGGCGGTAGAGGACTTTTTACGCGAAGGCTTCATTAAAGGAAACGCGAATCTAATTAGCACTAAAAATTGAATGTTTACCGAATTAAAAATTTATGAGAATTTTCGCCCGAAAATTGATTCGTTTATATCCGAAAGCAATACTTAAAGGTTCGAATGAATAAACAACGAATTTAATTCTGCAGCCGAAAAGTTTCTCGCCTGGTTCTTGTTTGTTTCATTAAAAGCGGAAACAGGTACTTAAATTCGTTTAACCCTCCCGGTACAATAAAGTAAATCTGTTATCTGACTCTCGGTTGCGGATATATATATTTCTCAATTAAAAGTTAAATAACTTTTCTAACTTTATTTCGAAAAAGCACAACGGCTTCTTGTAGTAGTGTCTATTTATAAATCGCGGCTAATTTCGTTTTAACATCGCGGAAAATATCGGATAAATAAATTCCTGCGTACAACCGCCCTACGATATGAAATTCCTTTCGGAATATTTCGCATGAATTTACCGGGTGTTTTATCGATTTTGACTGTTTAGGTTTCATTGTTTAACCGCCATTCTTCGGACCAATTAATCAGTGCATAAAATCCAATTCTCCACGGCCATTTCCATTTTTTCCATTCGCTCTGCCAGTGGACGACCATTATTGATGAACTCATCGCCGTCGCGCCTAAAAGTGATTTATGAAATATTCTGCTCTGTTTACCAAATACTACGTTTGCATCACGATGAAATTAAATTCCATCAAACCTACACTTTTCTCTAAAACATACAATTTATTTCTACGAAAATCACCACAATTTACCCCTCACAATAAACTCAAAAAAAGTAAACTACTAGGTTTAATTTTAGAATTTAATTGCGGTTTTTATACTCACGTGTAAACGTGACAGTAGTATATCAAAGTGACACATGAACCAGGTCCTCTTCGATGCTGAATATTAATTAAGAGAGACGGTGCATCTAGTGCAAACGAACATATCAGATCACCCAAAAGAACTTGATGGATATTTATAACTTCCAAACAATGGATTTCGAAAATGCGAGGGTTCTAAATACCCTTCTCAATCAAACTTATTTGATATGTTACAATTCTCGCATTTTTTTAATTCAAGTACCGTTAAGAATCGCTCCTTCTCTCCTCTCCGGTTCTCTATTCTACTAAGTGTAGATTCCATCCTTTATATCTGGCCAAAGATACCTACTCATAATGACAAAACAACAGTCTCTTCAGTGTTGCGAGGGCTCCGCATGAAAAGCAGCCCGTGTCGACCTGAAGGGCTTCAAGGGTCATAGAGATCTAGGGATTTTAAAAGGTAAAGAGCTTGTCGTATGAGTTGGTAACACCCTATAGTGCGGGAGACCTGATTTATGTCGAAATAAAATATGCAGATTTAATGTAAAATTTAGTTACAAGAGATTAATTTTGGAATCGATAGAGAGTTGTTTAGGTAAAAAGGTTTTTTTTAATTATGAAAAATAAGAAGGTTAATAAGAGGGTTTTTATAAGTAATGTAATAAGAAGTTTCGTTGGTAGTTTATTAGCGGCTCCCTGACTAAAACTTTTTTTTAAAGAAAGAGGGATTGAAAGAGAGATAAGGGAGATTTGGGTTTTTCGACTAATTTGATTTATGAGGGGTTTTACTCATGTAATTTAATTTGGAAAATGAAGTGAGAATTTTCATAATTTATATTCAAGGGGACTTTAAAAGCGGGAATAAAATTAGTTCTTCGCCGAGCAAAACATTCCTTATATTTATTAACAATTTTAACGGAACTGTATATCTTCAAACTTTCTCTAAAATATAGGTAGGTAGGCTAGAGCGTAAAACGCAATTTTCACAATGAAATTGCCACTCGTCGGAAAAAGGATTCTCCGAAGTACGTACTCGTTTCGATTGAGCATTGTCCGGCTCCCGGAATAAAATAAAGCACAATTTTGTTGGACAAACACTCCCTACTGTTTAATTTAATTGAAATGTTACTTCAGTTCCCTGCCTAACAAAAAAAAAACGAAACACTTTTGTCGTGAAGGATTTACTTTCTTATAAGTACTCGATTTTAAGAAGTCCGCACAATACGCGAGCGAGGATTCGCTCATGCCATCAGGTTAATTTGTTTGAACTGCAATCGGTTTCGCTACAGCTCCTCCATTATTCTCTTACTTTTATCAGTTTAATATTCCAGATAACCGGCTCTGTTCGCAACGTATCATCACGATTTTGCGCTAATATCGTAACGTTTCACTTTCGTCTGCCGTACCTGTCAGCGCCAGCCCATGCTCCGGCTCGCCTAGCCTCGTTACTCCGGAGTAATCAACGTTTCGGTTGTAAATAATTAGTCGATAATACGGCACAGAGTTGCAACTCCGTACTATGTAATTTACAAGTCGGGTCATTAGGTTTGTTTGCTCGAAGGGATGGAGCCCGGGATTCGGCACATGATGCGGCGTATGATGGATGCTCGTCGATGACTGTTCCCTCTTCGAACTTTTCTTTGAGAGGGTTTTACGTTATTCGCACCGACGAAATAATTAAGTGGGTTTTTTTTTAGCGGGAAAGTTTTCAGTCCGGCGATATTACGTTTCATTTCGGCCGGATTCCGGTGGCATGTGCGAAGGAGTTTATTGCTATTGCGAATCCGACTCTTGACCGCTTGCAAGCCAGAGCGTTATTAATTTCCGAAATATAATGCCGTTTAGAAACAAATCGCCGTCCACGGAATGGCGCTAATAAATTACTGTGGAAATTTCATAAAGGCAATTATTAAATAGATGAAACGACCACGTGACCTCGACAGCATCATTCACAATCGAAATGAATTCAACCCGCATATTAGCCCGTTAGTCCTGGAGCCTAACATCGCATTTTACCACCTATCACAACTTTTATTCGAGTTAAATATTTCTTACTTTTCGTCTAGTATTACCAATACTTTCAAAGTGCATATATTAAAATGCACCGTAATCAATACCAAATTATCTTTGGTATATAATAACCTTAACACAAATTAGAACCGTATCTCATGTGCTATAATCTACCAGTATATGGCTTGTTTCGGAAACGAATTCTAGGGATTATCGCTTCGATTATGGCATGGCAGATAATAAGCTGACCAGCGCAGAAACCGCATGCACCCATCGCCACAAATCAAACTGATGAAAAGGTTCGAAACGTCGGCGTATTCATTCGTTTTGCATAGATGCACGCGCTTCAGTCTCAGGTAGCCGCGGTTCCGATGCGTTATCGATGATTCATTGGTTTGATTGTTGCCGGTGAAATGCACCGAGCTTTGTACTCAAGCTGTTAGTTGTACCGTTTCATAAATCACAAGGTTTTCGTTAAATGGGATATTAATTGGAGTTCCGGTGCTTGTAGCACTGAGGTGACAGAGCTTCAATGATCGTGCATTCAGCAGGGAATGTCAGATGGTAAACATTGATGATGCTTGATTTAGGTGTAATTGAATTTTCATTGGATCACTAGAAGGACCCAAGGAAGCTAAGTTTGAATCAAAATGGTGCATTCAAATGAAATTGCGCTAGTAACTGAAGGAAATTTCTTTCAGATAAGTTTATAACACAATTTTTCGATGATTCGATGATACTTTATGCATAATTATTATGCGTTTGGAGCTCTACAATGAGACCTGGAAAGCTAACTTTATATCAAAAATGAATCAAAGTATTGTTTGCAGTGGATCCAAATGATGCATTTAAATGAAATTGCACTAGTTACTGAAGAGAATTTCTATCAAATAAGTTCATAGAATACTTCTTGGATATTTTGATGATATTTTATGCATAATTTTGATTCGTTTGGAGTCCCACAATGAAACACATAGAAAGGATACTTTAGCAGCAAAATCGCATCGAAGTTACACAAAAGTTCCTCATCGAACAAACCAAATAGAAAATATGGTGGTCAGCGTTTACATATCTGCAAACGCTAATCCGAACGTACCGAATTGGCGCGGAAACGTAGACTCCGCAGAGCGTAATCAAAACGAACCGTCGGATTGGGAAGCTGACACGTTAAACGCAGTCCGATGCGACGACGTTGCATTCGTCGAATTTCTGAAAGTGCCGATCGCCGGCGACCGGATTGCAGGATCGCATCCCGGAATCCGGAATAAGAGCCGGGCGCTCGTTAGCCGGAGCCGCGCGCTTTGCTGCGACAGCGGAAATGAGTCTCCAGTCGAGTGTGAAGTCGGCGAAACGGTTCCGGAGGTCGAATGCAACGTCGGTTTGATGCCGCCAATTAATAATATCCAGCGCAAACGGTATTTATTAGTAACTATTGCAGGTCGGACTTGGAATTTGGTAATGGGTTTTGTCTGATGTTCTTCCAGTACCAGCCTTGCAGGAAATTGTTTCGTTTTACTTTTCTCTGTAGCATCATCACGCCGTAGAGAATCGCTTCGGCTGTTGGTGGGCAACCTGGTACGTAAATATCTACCGGTACTATGCGATCGACGCCTCTTACCACTGAGTAGGAATAGTGGTAATAACCGCCACCGTTGGCGCAACTTCCTATAGATATTACCCATTTAGGCTCCGGCATTTGATCGTAGACTTTTCGAAAAGCAACAGACATTTTGTTAGTTAATGTACCAGCAACTAAAATTACATCTGTTTGTCGAGGCGAGGCTCTAAAAACCGTACCATACCTACAACACAACATTATACTCCAATTTCATAATAAAAACATATACAATTTACCTATCCATATCGTATCTTGGAGCAGCGTACTGCATCATCTCCACAGCACAACAGGCCAGCCCGAAGGTCATCGGCCATAGGGAATTCTTCCTTCCCCAGTTCAGGATGTCGTCCAATCGCGCCAAGGCCCATTCTACTTTATTTTCGATGTACTGGTGCGGCGAGTAAGCCCTGTATTCGTCCGGTTTGTAAGCCGGGCTCATGTGCCTCGGTACTTTAAAGAAATCCGGGTACTTCTTCGGGAGCGGTTTCTTTTCGTCGCATTTCTGTAGCTCGGTTGATTTCGATTTCAATCGAATTTGAGAGAGTTTTACACTGTTTATGCAAAGTCTTTTTAATAACGTCATGTTCGACTTTTGAGTGTAGATTGAAGTTTATTTGTTTGTCACAAAATAGGGATCACACATCCAGGTTTGGATTAACTTATTGGGATTTCCTTGGGGATCTTATTGTTGCAAGACTATTCAAGAATTTTACAATTGTAACTTTAAAGAGCTTTAAAGATAACCAGTAAGCTAAAGGAACTAAAAAATAAAGTGAATTTTCTGTTGTAAAACAGAAAATCGTTGAAGATAATCAGCTTAAATTTGTTTTTGAAACCTCCGCAATCTAAGTATAGCGCTACTTTATTTCAGAATATTTCATTTAACTTACTAATAATAAGTTTGATACCGGCTGTATTAATTTGCTAATTAATTTTACAAGAAACTTGTTGCAAAACCTTACATTCGCAGGGAATATTTCGCAAAGTATGAAAGTAACTTTAAGCGTGGAAGATTTGTTAACATTTTGCAGGCGCTGAATTATCTAGCGAGTTTGATGGAGGAGTTGCAAAATACTTCACTTGTGCAATCTCATGCACTAAAAATAGAGCTTTCTTATGGATTTATTTAATTATCCATTTTATGTGAACTCGACTAAGAAAATAGGTAGTTGAAAATAAACCGAAAGAAACAGAGACCCTTCGAAAAAAAAATAAACAAACAAAAAAAAATCAGCCACCTGAAGCTTTGGAAAGCCGGTCGCGTCGAAAGCGTGCGAAGGGACGAAGGGTAGAAACGCAACTGCGCGATATCCCTTTTGCCGGCTTTTCCAGGATGCATCCGGACCCAGTAGAATTCGGTCGAACAGCCGCTACGGTGATTTCCACGATTTTTGCGGCGCTTCAGCCAAACGTTCGCATTTCCATCATAACCTCAAACAATCCACCAGCGAATCGAGGCGACTTATTAAAAACACGATTACCTCCGCTTTGTGTGCATAGATTTGAATGCTTAATTGATTGTTAATTACTGTTAATTCTAAAATTGAAATAAACTGTAGTGTATTTTGTTAGTTGTGGAAAATTTAAGGGACGTGCTGCAGATCTGCATGTGATATATTGAATTGCAGGATTTATTGCAGCAGGTAATTTTTTTGATTAATAACTCACTGAAAGTAGGATATACAAAAAATTAGAAGAAACATCATGATTTATGACATTGATATTTTCTCTTTACTACAATAAAATTAAAAATTAAATATACAAAAAAACAAGTAAAATTACCAGTTATCATGGCTTGCGGTAATTGTGGTCCAACCCAAGGAATGTGTCCAACTGTATTTGAACAACGCCTGCGAGAATTATACGAATACAACTGCATGTTGCGACAGCATTACCGTTGCTTGCTCTCTATATTCAAAACAATGCAAAGGGAATTCACCAAAGCCAAAGAAGAAAGACACCATTTGGAATACCACAGGACATTCAGACCCCCTAACCCAGACGTAAGACATTGGGATTAGTGCAAATCCCTCTCACCAATCGTTACTGCAAATTTGGTTTTTTTAGTGGAAAATATGCCCCTCGCCTCTTGCACCACCACCGTGCGTGCATCTGCTCCGAAGCAACGATATAGACCGATTATGCGAAGAATTTAAGAACCTTTGGCCTACACTAAGCCAAGTGTTAGCCGAAAGGAACGAAAGAAAATGCGAAAATCAACGATTGAAAAGAAAACTGTTGAAACTGAAGAAGAAATACACGCCCGACGATCTATATAATTAATGCATTGTAAGGACCAAAATGGATGGGAAATAAAATAACGTTATTAGTCCTAACCCCCCTCTCGAACCTCTTAACGACCAATTTGTGACCAGGAATCTTGGTCTTACTCGGTGTATACCGAAATCTTTATAGGCAATACCACGTAATACCTTTTACTGCCCATCAACCCTTTCGGCCCCGCATTCGCCCATCAACCGATCGGGTCGCGCAACTTTCCTTATCGATAAAACGAATTAACGACGAAATTATACGATCAATTGTGGATGACGCGCCGATCAGCCGAGAATTAATGAATTACATAATTTATTGAGCGTCTTGGGTGTCCGAACAAAGTGCCGATGGTCAGGTTAGCCGTCACGGAAAAAATAATCGTTCGCACAATCAATCTCTTCCGCCGTCCATCAAAACTTCGGAAACTCTCTTTAACAACGGGAATATCTCCATTAAATCGATTATGATTTGGTTAAATATTTATTACATTTATAGTGAACTTTTTAAACCTACTGATAGATGCACAAAGGGAGATTACAATTATTTGTATGGAAATGTTTGAGATTTAAGTTTTAACAATTCGCAATAGTCGATTATACCGTAATTTTTAGATGCTTCGCTTTCATCATCGGATTCTTCGCTCTTGTTGCAAATGCAGACGTCCTTCTCGTCGTCTCGGCAGTCGCAACAAGCGCATTTTATGTAGCCCGGTTTGGCGTTGCTGCAGCAAATGCATATTTCCCTATCGTCGTGAGGCGTTATGTATTGGTCGGTCAGCCTGTCGATTTGTTGTTGTAGATCGTCGTTTTCCCACACGAGGAACGATCTTTCGGTCATGGTTTGGCACAAGTGCATCCACAGGGTGCGGTATTTGCTGCACACTTCTTCTATGTACTTGGGGCAGGTATTTTCAACGCTGCAAGGATGCGGACCGCACGGATCCGGGCAACGTTTCAACTGAAATAATCGATTATCGGAAGATATTTTGAGGATTTATGGTTTGGGAACTTACGGTGCAGTTTAATGGCGAACATTTGTTATGATGATGGTAGTGATCTCTTTCTTTGTTGCGTTCTTTGATTACGTTTCGGAGCTTTTTTACGATGCATCTCGTGCCGGCCGCGTTGCCTTTTAGGCATTTTAGCTTGCAGTTTAATTTATCCAAACGGTAGGTGGCACTTCCTGGACACGGTCCATATTTTCCACCGCATTTTTCCATTTCTTTTTATCCTTTTTGGTGAAGGAAATTTGGTAGGGAAATGAGTTTAAGATACTTTTGTTGCTTTAATGACAAATTAATAGTTTGTGAATATGAAACGAAAATTTTGACTTTTGTTTTATTTCTAACTGTCATGAAACTAATTAAAAATTATAATTACGAACATTATGGATGAAATTTATCTTTAGGTATATATTAATTTCACTAACGAATTTATGAATTATTCAAAGCATCCGAAATGCTTCTACCGTTTAATGTCTTTGAATTTCAGCTTCCATTTTTTTAGTGCATTAGTTTGAAAATTAATTTTATTAGTTTAATTAACGGCCGTTCAGTTCGGACAAAATTTCAAATCGCTACTCGGTGGTCTGGATAAAATATTCACGTTTTAACAGTGTTTTCTACTTCGTTCGATTATTCGAAATATCCAAACTCTATAATAGACACTAGTTTCGTATAGGAACATCTTTATTATCTTTATAGGAAGCGGTTTTCTTCATCACATATGCTAATAAGGGTAATATACAAATCGTTTACCGTAAGAAATATTATTTATCGCAAATACTCCAAACTACGATTGGAGAATTGAAGCTCGCTATATTTCTAGCGATAGTTGAAAAAAAACAACTAATCCTAAAGATATTAAAAGTCCGCCATCGATTTAGCAATAACAGTTAGCAATTTGGCTATAGACCTTCGAGAAAGTAGTCCATCTATTATTTTTAGTGTTGGGCGGCATAAAGAAGGTGTAGGGAAAAAGGGATGGATTATTCGTATAAGAGATACTTCCTATTTTTCCCCATATTATAAAAAAATCGCTCTTAAAATGAACATTTAAGTAGGCATAGGTAAATTCAAGAAATATTTATTGTAGTATGAATGCAGTAATTTAATTAGTACAATTTTTCATTAATTCATTCATTTTTTGTTGCAGACATTAAAAGTGTTTCATAACGTCGACTTTAATTAGGTGCTTCGTCGTACACAGAAAAAGGTGAGTTAATTACATCCTCGTTTAATTTTAAATCCGAACATAAAGAGCAGCAAAATCGGATGTACCGTCAGGACTATCAGGATAATGAAAAAAGCAGAAATTCCGTGTAGATTGTACCGGATTTATTGAAATTAGTCCACCAGCTGACGCTAAAGTGATAATGGCGAGAAGGGGGTATTTCATTAAAACTTTACTAACCTTAGGTCCAGAAAGATTAGCCAATAAACGGAGCAAGATTATTTTATTGATATCATCCGAAAGAGTTTTTATTGCATCGCAACGGTCGCGGAAATGACGGGCAATATTATTGAAAATCATATCATTTTATCGTCCATTCGAAAAATATGGCCAACATTAATTTTAATTGGTATATTTTAAAGCTATATTCACTAGTACGTAATATACAACAAAAAAATTAACTAACTTTAGGACGTAATAAATTAATGTAAAAGTTTATTATTATCCATTAATTAGAGTTATTTAATTAGAGATTATTATTAAATATATTTGCGTACTATGTTTGAATACGGGCATAAAAGGCAGGAAATTTATTAATTTTAACGAATTTTTTAAGGGTAATCTCCCCCAATCGATTCAATCACATTGCCTAATTTCGGCTTGCGAAAAATATTGTACTTTTTATTTAACTTTAATTTGTTGCATTGTGTACTAATTTCTTAAGTCACTGCAACAATAATTCCGAGGGTGTCGCGTAATAAATTAACACGAATTTAATACAATTAGCATCGTAAATTTCGTCGAAAACGACCGCACATATGAAAATGGCATCGTTCCGGCAGATAAACGGCAACATCAGAACCCAAGACGGCAGAATGCGGTTAATTTGTAAACGATAAAAACAATTAATTACGAACAACGAGATTTGGAAAATAGAAACGGGGATACAACGAGGATATTCCAGTTTAGTATATTCAAAGAGTCGTTAGTGCAACCGCACACCCAAACTAACTCGAGCATGACAATGTTGTACCGAAGTTTGCGTAATTTAGGTTTCTTTGATGCAATCTTTCGAATTTAAAATAATTTTTGCTAGCAACTGGATAATTCGGTTTTCATACAAACATCAATTTCATTCAAATTTCATCGGGGACGCTTCGATTTTGACGCCAGGGCGACCATTCCGTGACTAGGTTGCGTCGGAGTTTTTTTAAGTCTGAAGATAAATTCCCTTCCTAATTTCGTTGAGTACATTTTCTAATTTGGTAGAAACCTTGTTGACAGAAATATAAATGCGCGCTAGTTGCATTAATTCGGATTTTATTCAGAACGGACTTTTTTCAACTCATCATAAATAACGGCCTTTCTAAATCCGACGAGTAATTATTACATTAATTCGATGATAGAATTAACAATAATTTTGCTATTGGGTATATGTCCTCGGGGGTTTCATTGCAGCTTTACCAATCGATCTGTGTCAAAAATTTTAATTTATAAATATCGTATTACAGGTTGATATGCACCTTCAACTACGTGTAATTGAAATTGTGGCTTAACATGTAAAATAGCAGTTCCATTGAGTGCAATTGGCATATTTATGCAGCTAATTCTAATTTAACCGATTTTATTAGGTATATCAAATGTAATTTTGAGTAATGCTAGATAACCATTTCAGATCAGTAGCATAACATTAATCGACCTCTTTGTTTATTTAGTATAATTGTAATTACGCTTAACTAGCCCTTTCGTATGTGTATGGGGTTAATTACGAAATAATGCACTATGGAGTAATAAAATTCAATGTATGTTACCTACATGCATTTTATGTGAATGTACGAATACGTTATCAAAGGAATATCATCGGAGTGATTGAAAAACAATAATATCGAAATGTAACATAATAAAATTGCTCTAAAAGCATTAAAACGCGGGATTATTAAAAATAAATCTAGGCGAGAATTAAAAATGAAATGTTTTTGTGAATTTACACATATCATATTTTTTATCAGCTGTGTATGAGTGCATTCGTTGATTCATTCATTCATACATTGATTTATTCATTCTTTGATACATTCTCATTTATTGATTGTTTTATTCATCTCAATCATTGATACTTGATTCATTCGTGAGTCACTAGTATATTTTTTTGGGTAGTTTTTGGGATAAAAAGAAAATACCATTGTATTGTTTCCGTTTCATATATTAATTTTTATGATATAAAATTGAACAATGCAAAATGCTTGGCCTAAGATAAGAGATTCTGCAAATGTGTCACAATTAAATTAGAAGATTCGGGATCAACTAAAATCCTAAAAAGCTTTAGCCTTAAACAAGACAATTTGTTGTTGAAAAAGTACATACTTAGAGTAATAAAATCCATCTAAGAAATCAAACCATGCAAATTAGTAAATATAAATTATAATTAAAAACGGGTTTTCCAAAAAATTGAAAAAATAAGGGCTAAATAATAAAAAATTATATAAAATAGGTCTTACATTAAATGCGTCCGATTAAAATGTATTCTCGATAAAATCGATCGGCGTCGCCCGCGGTTGCAACGTCGACACGTGACTATACGTTTTCGATTTATACTTATCCTGGATCGCGTGCTGCGCCAAACTCGGCGCCTCCTCGAACGCCTCGCTCAAAAACCTTATACACCCCTCTAACTGCCTCAATTCGTACCCGCTGGTCTGGGCCAAGCTCAACGACCAAGCGGCCTCGTTCAATGTGTGCCTAGCCAGGGCTATCGCGGAAGCCGCTACGACCGAAGGAAGATACCCCAAGTAACTTTCTCCCTTTAGCAGACCCAATTCGCTCAAGTACTAAAAAAAAATAAAGTGTCATTTATTGAATTAAAGATGTAAGTCAAATTTACCATGGCTAGAAACTTGGTTTGGGTGGTGATGTTATTACTAATGTGCATCAAAGAAATGAACACTAGAGGAGTGGGTATAGACACGTCGAATTCTAATACTTTCAATATCAAATGCTCCATTCGAGTGATTTGTCGTTTAGTGTAGGTGTCATCGGTGATGTAAACGAACTCGGTGACTTCGGGCGGGTAAATTTCTTCGTATTTCCTACAATAATTACTAGTTAATAAAATGCCTTCGTGATAATTTCGATGGAACTTACGATGCAAGAAACATGGCCGCCGTTCCTACCAATTGCAGCTTCGCTCGCACCACCGACATGTAACTGAGAAACCTGTCTACGAAATTCACGGCGAGATAGAGGGTTTCCGTGTGCATTTTGTACTCTTCCGCTACCTCCACCAGCCAATCGACCAGTATCGTTCTCATCTGCACGGTGATGTCGGGTTGCTTCTTCATGTATTCCGGTTTCGGGCGACTCAGTAACTGTAAGTTATGCAGCTAATTAGAGGTGTACGTTCGGTTAAACACAAACTCACTTCTCGTTGTTTGAGGTACGCCCATATGTCTTGCTGGTACTCCTCTTCGAAGTAGAACGGTACCTTCGAGGTCTTCGTGTCTTCGTCTACTTCTATTTTATCGTCGGTTTTGTAATCGGAGAGGGATTGATCGGCTATGGTGGGTTTCACGCAGGCGGTGGGAAACGGGTTGTATTCGTTCTTGACCGTAACCTCGTTGTTTCTCAGACCGAGCTGGGCGAGCTCGCTCTTGGTGTAGAACCTGTCGTTGTTCGTTCCGTTGTAAATGGACTTGCTCGATTTGTTGTCCGGTTTGGTCGGGGGGACATTGTCGTCTTCGTATACACTGAACGATTTGAATTGGTTACAAGGTACCACCGGATTGACGATGTTTTTCAAACTGTCCTTCTGGCTGAGCCCGAGCGGTTTTTGATTCTGGTCTTTTAGAATGTTCGATGATTTGCTTTTAACGTTTTCTTTTTCGGAAATTTCTCTTCCTAATGGTTGCATTGCCTGTTGAAAGTATAAAAAAAGTAACTAACAATGTATTGGAATATTACCACGCTTTTTACAAGTGGTAAAAGTAGTTTTTTTATAAATAAAACAAGTTTTTATAAGTTGTGGTATCGTTTCAAACGAACTAAATTTAACGAACTTTTGAAGTACAAATCGTTAACTTACTTGTCTTTGCTGCATTTGATGAGCCTTTTCGTCGTTATTGGAAAACCCGAAGGGTTTTTTTTGTTTAACCGCCATGCCCGGTTTCAAGATTTCCGGCTTGCGATTTTCCTTGTTCCCCACAGGATTTATCCCGCGCGACTCCATTTTATAACAACGTTTAAGGCACTACTGTATTTACAACGGTATAATTTTGAATATTTTCTGATAGAAACGGGACGCACAGCACGTTTAAAGTACCCGATATCGTTCTTGTGCGCCAACGGTTAACGGTTGCCTTTTCTTTGAAGTTTGACGGGAAAAAGAGACAAGGGAAACGATTCGCCGATCGAATGGCAACAAACAGAAACAGAAACAGCTGAGACGAAGACGGTTAAAAAAGGTTAGAACAGCACACCCGGATGTTTTGCCGACCGTATCGACCAATCGCGGCGCGGCTTGCAGTCATGTGAACGATTATTCGAAGTTTAATTCGCTTTCAATTCGTTCGTATTATTGTTTAACAACGATAATTATGTTGTAATTAGCGCAAATTTTACTAGTTTTGATAAATTGTAATCATTTATCGGTGTTTTATGTGTTGGGATTATTTAAAATGCACCAATAGTAGTCGCGTATTTTCAGTTATCTTTTATCTCGTTTTACTCAACGCAGTGCTAGATTTTCTGTCTCTTATTAAAACTACTACAACTGTCAAAGTAGTAGAGTGACTGAATGCTGTATTGTAATAGAGGCCACATTTTGAAATTCAAATTAACAACTTTTAAAAGTAAAGCAAATTTTAATCTATTTGTGTATAATTCATATTTATTATGTGAAAATGTTGTAAGTAAATATTCTCAAGGTCGCACACGAACATAGAATTTAAGTACATAATAAATAATAACAATTATTTCTCCTACAAACAGGCAACCTCCATTACACCAAATCAAAAATATTGTAAAATTGATCACAAAGACCCAAATTTCTCGTATAATTTCACAAAGATTTAAAATAGCAATGTACGTACATTATCTGGTAAATATACATAAAATTGCATTTATTGACATGAGTTTAACCCAATGGAAATCGTATAGCAACAATGGTCGATGTATTTGAATCGGAATACATTTGGATGAATATCCAGTTTTAAATTTTGTCACGAAATTCCCTGCAAAACAAGCGGGGCGAATGCGCCAGCGTTAAATTACTTGTCCGGCATTAGTTGGTGTTTTATAGACGTATATGCAGTAAATTGAGATTATCGAGGCGAGCACACCAAAAGTGCATAAACGCGTATGAAAAAACACCATCTATATTGGATTTAATAATTCCGATGTTGTTGCCGATATCAGAATTATTTATTCCTGCATCGAATGCAATCGATCAACTCGAACTGGCATCGTAAATAAAACTATTCAATATTACCGCGTTTGATTTTTCCAATATTAATTATTGCGCCTATTGTCTTCGTAATTTTTTTATAGGTTTCCCTTCGGGATGGAAAAATTGTGGCGCAATATATCAGAAAACCATCGGAACTCTAATTTAGCGTGATATTCGAACTCGCATAACCTTTTATTAATATCTTTCTAATAAAGTTCACGAACGGAATAATAAATGTGAGTTCGCGTGTTTACGGCCACTCAATAAAATCACCGACATCGAATCCAATTACGAGCAATTATCCTATCACTAAATTAGTTTATTCCTTTTTGTAGTCTTAAAGGCTAGTATTTATGAAAATATATATTAAGTGGAGTATTTTTTATTTGTTTGGTGAAGAGGTCGTTGATAAAATTACGTTTTTGAACGTTACATTTTCGAGATTCTAGTAAATATACTTAATAATAAATCTTCTAACAAAAGAATTCACCATACCATGATTAAAGAGCTCAATAATCTTAACGCTTCGGGCAACTAGCGATCGTTTTCTCATTAAATTTTTATTTTATTTTTTCACTGGATAGATTCAAGAAGATTTACAATCAATTAATAAAGAGAAGGATAATCAAGGTTCGTAACTTGGATTGTTCGCAGTAAATGTAGGAGTTGTATATACAGTGCGAATTAATATTTTGGACGTTTCAATCTGGAATTCCTAATTGTTTAGTCCACTTGGATTAAAATCCAAATTGGATTTCCTCCGAGCATTGAGCAGCTAAACAAACAAGACGCCGACAATAAATCGGCGCTTTGAAATCGCTCTAAATCTTCAAATTCTACTTTTCCGCAAACTCCAATTATCCAGAACCGAAGCAAAGGATTTGCAATTATGACTAATGCGAAAAATACCGTTTTCTCTTTTCCCGATTTTATCGCCGCAGACATGCAAGACTGGAAATGGAATTATTACTGTCAGTTTTAATGCGGAAAAGTTGGTAGCTTCGCAAATGACCGTCATAACGATGTTTAACGTTACATCGAAAATTTTGCTCGTCGTCCTCGGTTAATTCGCCCGGATTTTATGTATATTGCGGTTATATCAAATTCCATTATTATTAATACCAATAATTACATTTATTTGCTTATAGCACCCTCTATATATAAATGATTATTTTAGGGAAATAATATTTCTACCGTTTTGGGAATTACCTACCATTCCACCTTAAAATTAAATCAATTTTATGCTCCATGTACTCGTTATATTTGACTTTTCCATATTTTACATTTGCGTGTCTGCAAATGGCCGTAAAATTTAATTTACTACCGAGACATATCATAAACATTAAATATATTTGACGGTTTATTAAACGAAAAACTTTTAAATGCAATCAATATTGCAATAAGGATTTGTAATTTGAATAGTTATATTTACGTTTCATGAATCCAGTAGTAATTTATTAAAATACGTAAAACTGTCAAGAAATGTACGTTTTATTCATAAATCAAATTATTCCTATTATTTTTAAAATTGTATGATAAGTAGTCAGATTAATCATTTTGGATGTACTTGAGTTTTACCTAACCAATCAAATCTAACACAAATCAAAATCAAATCAAATTTAACATAAAACAACCCCTAAGTCCCTTTTTTCTAAAGGTTTTTCTTTGTTTTTTTTTTTCTAATCTAAATACAATCTCCTCCATGTCCCTATTGTAAATCCAGAACAATCGACATTGCTGCTTTCATTCCACGAGCCCATTACCTTTCCAATCATTAGAGGACCTCATTTAATCCCTCCTTTGTTTCGAAAAAAACGGAAAAACAACGAGAAACACAAAGTAGCTCCTAAAATGAGTTGCCCTCTGCCTTTGACAGCGCCTATAACTTTCGGACAAACGTTAATTGGCTCTCAAATCGCGTTTCGTCACGCTTTGTTAACGTTGTGGATTCGCTATTATATTCCTCGCCCGGCCATTGTCTCTTCTAACTTGTTCAATTTGTGCATTGGGCACAGATTCCATTGTTGCACTCAATTATTGCAGTTTACTCTCTAATTTGCTTGCTAACTTACCCACTGCCTCAGCCACCTCAACACTTTGCCCAAGATTTTCCGCAAGTGTTCATTATCTAATGGATTAAAGCACCAATCGATTGCCCAATTATACTCTATAACACCTATGTTAACTGTTGATATTTTGTTTGGTGAATTTGAGTACTTGTGCCAATCAGATTTGATGCTTGTTTCCTAAGGACTTAATACCGCATAAAAGCTTTATACAGATTGATGCCTGAAAGCCCCATTGCACAATATCAGGTCTAAATGACGGAAACGTTTATAATTACCGCTGGAAATGCAGGAAGTGAAACTCGTTTACCCTCATTCGCTCATTCATTCATTCGCTTTTCGGTCTTGATTGGATAGCCGAGCAAAAACAGTCGGGGGACTAAATGGTCAATTTTCAAATCAATTTTTTCCAATAGACAAATTTGTTCATTCAAAATTAACAGCGTGTGTTCGTGGAAAAATGTTATATAAAATTTCGAGAATAGAAAATAAAGGAAACGAGTTCCACATATCTTCGAGAAATTAAAGCTTCCGACGCCGCACTAAATTTTCGGCCGTTCCGCGTCTTACTTACAGGAAAAACACTCGATTTCGTTGCGAGAATGCGAACCCAAAGCTCTTTTGGTGAATGTGTGTGTGTATGTGTGTATACACCCAAATAGAGAGAAACAGCGGACAGAAAGCTGCCGCATTGCGTCACGACGCCCGACTCCTAATACTCAGTTCTGAAGCTCAACGTGCCCTCAAGTTCCGTATTGTATGTCTGTTTTGGATGCGCTTCGACTGCATATCTCGCTTCATTTATTGTTGATTATTTATTTATAATTTACTGAACAATAATATGTTAGTATTAAACTGTTTCATCAATGATGCGAGAAAATCTTTAGTTCATGAGATATATGCGTTGTAATTTCCTAAATTATCTTCTATGTAATAAACGTCATTCTCGTTCATTTTTTTGTCGGGCAATTCTTTCCCAGAGTACCGTTTTCAACCCTTTTTAATTATATTAGCAGTGGGACTCGATGTACATAAAGTGCCATAAAGGCCTCGCACATTCCGTTTTCCCTATCCCAAATTTAAATCATTATGTGTTTATTGTTCGGAAGAGGTCCTGGAAACGCTAAAAGGACCTAATGCAATATAAGGACGTAAAATTACACAGATAATGAAGCTTTTAAGCAAGTTTCTCTAATTGTTCGTGTTCGTTTTCCAAAAAGCTAGAGCGAGCTCATCCAACTATTTCTAAATCTATTAATTGCATCTCGTTTAAGAGGCGCAATACTAAGAATTAACCAGCGGCGTGCTGGGTACAATTTACTTAAAACTCACTTTAAATCCTGTCGAGAATCTTTAGGATTATATAAAAAAATAAACACAAAAATACAAACTTAATTACAACTATAACTTCACAAAAGTTATGAAAGTTGATCGGTACATTTGAGCATTTCTGTGCTACACTAATGATTCTCCGAGGCGCATTGTTCTCTAAGTTATTCGCCTTTTTGGTTCTGCGACAAATCAGGAAAGCGCCAATAACTCTAAAGCGAGAACTTCTGAAGTGGGTTTGATATTAAGAGATTTCGAGTGTAAGGTTTGTAGAAAAAAAAACTCGAATGAAACGCTTTTAGAAATCGGCGAACCGAGATTTGAAAGTAATTATTGTTCACCAATGCTCATAGAAAATTCCTATTTTATCGGTAACAGCAACTTCAATATTCCTGTAAATTTAATAGGTTGATTGAAACTAAAAAAGCGAATCCAATAAGACAGATTGCAGCTAACCGAACACAATACGTTACTCTATTAGGCAAATGTGCGGCTAGAAAACGGCCGTTAAATCGAATTGATATTCATTTGGCACCCTGTTTTGCCGGGGGTAATGGC